AAGGAGCTGTTCACTTGGAAACTACCACTTCATGACATCACAAGGTGGAACGGAGCGTTTGGAGCTTTGGAGATGTAAAGAGATACTCAAATATGTATAAATGAAACAAACTCATCTCCAGCTGTGTGTGTGGGTTATATGTGTGTTGTGTGTGTGTGTTTTGTCGTACTGTTTCTGCAGCTCGTCGATGCGGTTTCTCAGGGAGATGACTTCGTACTTCTGTCTCTTGAGGCGCTCGTGGTAGTCGTACTTTATGGCCTCCAGGCTGTGTAACCACTCCCACAGCTCCTTTGCCTTGTCCCTGAAACGTCACAGAGCATTTTATAACAGGGTTAGAGTATGAACTCCGGTGTGTGTGTGTATGTATATACAGTATGTGCATATGTAGTATTAGTAGTATTAATAGTTTATTCGGTATGTAGAAGTACCTGAGATTGTCCTCACTGAAGTCCTGGATGTTCAGAGGTTTACATCTCTCCGACAAAACTTTCTTCTTTTTCTCTCTCTCTGTCGGCTTCTTCTTTCCTCGCTTCCCCTCCACCTGAAACAGACCCCATTTAGTCCTGGTTTAGTCCTGGTTTAGTTCTGGCTCAGTCCTGGTTTAGTCCTGATGTCGTTCTTACCCTCTGCAGGTGGCTGCTGTAGCCAGAGCCCATGTTGGTGAGGGCAATCTTCTTTTTGGCTTCGTCGTCGTGGCGTTTCTGGAGGTCCATCTCCTCTTTCCTCATTCGCTCAGCCTGAAAAACAACACCCAATCAGAGACAAGGACAGAACACAGCAGCCAATCAGAAGCAAGGACACAAGGAGCAGTGGGAACCATCTCCAGATCTTGAGCTGGTCTTTTCCAGATCTTAGTGGCCTTGGCTTAATGGAGTCTCACCTCTGTCCCAGAGTCCTCGTCTGGAGTTGACCTTGGACTTAGATCTGGTTATAATCCTGGCCTCACCTCTCTCCTGGACCTCAGATCTGGTTATAGTCCTGGTCTCACCTCTCTTCGGGCCTGACGCTCTTTGTCCTTCTCAGCTCTGATCCTCTGCTGCTCGGCTCGTTCAGCACGACGCTTCTCCTGAAACACGAAAGACAAAGAATCAGAAAATACTGAGAACCACTCAAGTATCGTGAGTAGCAGCAGTGATTTTTTTTTTTTTTTTTAGCAGTTGAGGCCATTTAAGATCTCCAGGCCGAGTCCTGCAGTACCCCACTCCTCAAATAGGTCGCTCCCCTCCTGCCGAGAAGTTTTCACCTGTCACACTCAATCTGACACAGGTAAAATTTCACCTGTCACACTGCACCTGCACAGGTAAGATTTCACCTGTCACACTCTACGTGATTAGATTATTAAGGCAGGATCCCCTGGAAAACAACACTGTGAAGTGAAACATGATACAGTTTTTTTTCTCACTGTTTACACATTAAACAGCTGCAGTAGTAAAAGTAGTAAAAGTATAAAAGTAGTAAATGTAGTAAATGTAGTAAAAGTATAAAAGTAGTAAAAGTAAAAAGTAGTAAAAGTAGTAAAAGTATAAAAGTAGTAAATGTAGTAAATGTAGTAAAAGTATAAAAGTAGCAAAAGTAGTAAAAGTAGTAAATGTAGTAAATGTAGTAAAAGTAGTAAATGTAGTAAAAGTAGTAAATGTAGTAAAAGTAGTAAAAGTAGTAAATGTAGTAAAAGTAGTAAATGTAGTAAATGTAGTAAATGTAGTAAAAGTAGTAAATGTAGTAAAAGTAATAAAAGTAGTAAATGTAGTAAAAGTAGTAAAAGTAGTAAAAGTAGTAAAAGTAGTAAAAGTATAAAGTAGTATAAAAGTAGTAAAAGTATAAAAGTAGTAAAAGTAGTAAAAGTATAAATGTAGTAAAAGTAGTAAAAGTAGTAAAAGTATAAAGTAGTAAAAGTAAATGTAGTAAAAGTAGTAAATGTAGTAAAAGTAGTAAAAGTAGTACAAGTAAAAATGTAGTAAAAGTAGTAAAAGTAGTAAAAATATAAAAGTAGTAAATGTAGTAAAAGTAGTACATGTAGTAAAAGTATCCATAGTAAAAGGACTCTCACAATTCTTTCTTTCAGAGCAATCAGTTCTTCTTCTTCTTTCTTGCGACATTCAAAATGTGCGTCGATCAAACTCTGCAGCTCCACCAAGTCTTTGTTCTGACGCTTCTTCTGGATGTCCTACAAATGTACCACAACAACACAACATCACACACACATACACACATACACACACACCACACATACACACATACACACACACACACACACATACATACACACACACATACACACATACACACACATACACACATACACACACATACACACACCACACAAACACACATCACACACACACCACACACACACACATACACACACACACATACACACACATACACACACCACACAAACACACATCACACACACACCACACATTCACAAATACACACACACATATACACACACACCACACATACACACATACACACACACACATACACACATACATACACACACACATACACACATACACACACATACACACACACACACACATACACACACCACACAAACACACATCACACACACACCACACATTCACAAATACACACACACATATACACACACACCACACACACACACACATACACACATACACACACACACACACACACACATACACACACACACACACACACACACACACACATACACACACACACATACACACATACACACACATACACACACCACATAAACACACATCACACACATACACACATCACACACACATACACATTACAGACACACACACACACATTACACATACACAGATCACACACACACATTACACACACACACATACACACATCACACACACACACACATTACACATACACAGATCACACATACACACACATCACACACACATACACATTACACACACACACACACACATTACACATACACAGATCACACATACACACACATCACACATACACAGATCACACATACACACACATCACACATACACAGATCACACATACACACCCATCACACACACATACACATTACACACACACACATCACACACATACACACATTACACATACACAGATCACACATACACACACATTGCACAAACACACACATACACACACACCACACACACACATTACACACATCACACATACACAAATCACACATACACACACATTACACACATTACACACATCACACACACACATACACACACACACACATACACACATTACACATATACACACATACACACATTACACACATCACACACACACACACCACACATACACAGATCACACATACACACACACACAAACATGTGACATTCTCACTTCGTGTCCATTTATATGAACCATCTTTGGTCTGGAAGGACAGAGTCACATGAAATGTTTTATCTTCTGCATAAATGTTTTTTACTTTTATTTGTTCAACTGTGAGTTTGTTTTCTGTTCTTTAGGGTGAGAGCAGATTCAACCTTATAACTGCTAGCCTCGATGAGCTCCGTTAATCCACTTCTTTATACAGTCTTTGGATTTGACCGTGAAACATCTGCTGCATCGTTTCTGTAAGTTCAAACTTACGTCAAAGTCCACCTTCTCTCCATCGGGGATCTTAGGAGCTGAGGGTCTGAAACCAGAGATGACATTTGAGTCTGAATTTTCACTTTAGGATCATCAAATAAAACTTTTAAATACTCACTTAAATTTGGGCTTTTCTTCTGAACCACAACAGGCCATGAAAACAGAAAAGTTAGAAGTTAGAATTCTGGAAAGACTTTGGGTCAAGTTTAGTTGGTTTGACAAAATACACGGCACCAGGATTAATGTGGCACTGGACTCAAACTGAGACTGAACCTGGACTAAACCTGAACTAAAGTGGGACAACATGAGGACTTGGGTAGGATTTGAGTAGGATTTGAGTAGGATTTGAGTAGGATTTGAGTAGGATTTGAGTAGGACTTGGACTTGAGTAGGACTTGGACTTGAGTAGGACTTGTAAGGGGAAATGTAGTGTAGTAATGTGAGTTAGTGTAGATGGGTCACAGCAGTCCAACCTGAAACATTGAGTCTCACACAGATGAACATGTGAATAAAGATTAGATTAAATAAATACAAACAGGAGCAAAACCTGCAGCGATCTGGACCTGAACTGGACTTGGACCAGAACCAGACCCTGGGCTTAGGGTTGGGGTGGCCCTCACTGCACAGGTCTGGAGACAAACTAAAGTCAAAGACGTCCGTAAATGTCCCAAAGCAGATTCAGGATTCAAAATGTCCACTTTGGATCAAATGCAGCTGGCAGCCATTTTGTGAGTGAGTCCTTTAGTCTCAGAGACAGTCAGACCTGGGTTTAGGACCTGGGTTTGAGTCCTGGTTTAGGGATCTGGCTTATGTCTGGTTTGGGGTCCTGGTTAAGGTCTAGTTTTGGGTTCTGCTTTTGGATCTGGTTTTGGGTCTGGTTTAGGATCTGCTTTTGGTCCAGGTCCTGGTCGGGTCCAGATCCTGAGCTGGAGGAACACTTGCACGTGGAGAGAGTACCATCCTGATCTTCGTCTGCTGGAGCCATGCGGAAGAAAGCAGAGCACACTTAGACACGCTACAAACATACAAATGCACAAAACGCACAAAAGCAAACATTTAAACACACAAAAACGTAACAAAAAGCAAAACAATCAAAGCAAAACTGTCCCGACACCCCAGTGACTTCCAGGGCCTCAGGTTTAGTTCCAGTCCAAGCTCCTGGGGTCGGCCGTATTCAGGCTTTTAAATGGTTAACGTGCATCTGACAGGTTTTCGTGGTTTTGTAAGTCTGACTTGGAGGACAGTCTTTGTGCTGAATGTGTGAACAGTTTGTGGAACAAAAGTTGGGAAGGAAAGGCCAAAGAGACAGATGCAGGTGAGCAGAGACCAGGAGCTCGCACTGAACCTGGACACAGACATGACACTGAATCAGACAATTCAAACGGGGACTCCTGATTGGACAAACGGGAAAGGGGAGCAGTGCGACCACAGTCAGTACACAGTATCTGCAGAAACAGTAGTATTTGTAGTTGTTGTTTAGGTAGTATAGTATTTATAGTTATGGAAGATGTAGTAGTATTTGAAATGATAGTAGTAGTAGTAGTAAAAGTAGTAGTAGCAGTAGTTGTAGTGAAGTTGGGGACACAAAATGGCGGCACGTGAACCTACCTTCCTCCTCATAGGCGTCTGCAGCAGAAGCACCGAAGCAAAGCAGAAACAACATGAGTTCAACTGAGCAGCTACAAAAATTAAACCAGGTCTAAACCAGGTCTAAACCAGGTCTAAACCAGGTCTAAGCCATGACTAAAACCAGAACTAAAGCATTACATCAGCAAAAACATCATAAGACCAGATCTGGAGCAGGTCACCCTGTGAAGGAACGTCACAGACAGTGACAGAGGAGAACAAAGGGTTGAGTCTTACCTGAGACACAGGAAGCGACCACATACACACACACACACACACACGCTCACGCCCAAGGCGGGACCAGGATCTCCAGGACCTGAGCTCTCTGATATTGGTCACAGAGAGACTGTCTGCGCCAGCAGCAGGACCTGGTTCAGACCTGGTCTCTGGCCGCTGGAGCAGAGGATCCAGTCTTGGACAATGGTTCAGGTTCTGAGCAGAATGGATCACACAGAGAAACTGAACCAGACCTTAGACCTGGTCCTGGTTCAGTTCTCCTCCACAGAACCATGGCCCAGTCTGGACTGGGTCTACAGTGTCTACATAGACAGATGGACACAGAGAGACAGATGGACAGAGGACAGAGGACTTACCTTCTACTGGCTCAGGTTCTGGCTCAGGTTCTGGCTCAGGTTCTGGCTCACACTCTGCTTCTTCTTCTTCCTCTGGTTCTGGTTCTGGTTCTTCTTCTGGTTCTGGCTCGGCCTCTGGAGCCACCTCCACCTCCACCACCTCGTCCTGAGCTACAGCGTCACCCGCAGGAGGAGAGGAGCGCCACACGCAGGAAGAGACATGGACAGCAGAGAAGGTGCAGACACACACAGAGACAGAGAGAGAGATGCACAGAGACATGGGACAGTGAGACCAGCAGGGGGCGCCGCTTCTGACGTTGTGTGTTTGTGGTTCTTTGGTTCTGATTTGTGTTAATCTGAAATGAGAATCTCTGACTTAGATGGACCTCTCCCTACCCGGCCCAGACCTTCACCTACTACATCTGCTGCACCTCCTGGCCTGGACCACTACAGCTCCACCTGGACATCTTCAGATTTACTGTCCCCTCTGGTCGTCTGTGAGTCTAACACATTAAGTTTTCCACCACTTCCACTGCTATTCCTGATTGTCTGTGAGTTCATCAGTAGCCTTCTCCTGACTCCTGACCTTCAGACAGCACCTCCAGTCCAGACTGATGGGGGCCTTCAGCTGTAGGGTAGGGGTAGGTCCCGTCTTACTTTCAGAACGAGTTTTACATCACTGTAAATGATTAGGTTTGATCATTTGTTTGTTTCACTGACGCTAGAAAAGCTCAGGCTCAATGAGATATAAATAATGCAAGAATTATGTGTAGAATTCTCAGTCGGACTCATTATTTTAATGCTCGCTTTAATACTTGGGCTTTGTATTTGCACTTCATTTAATGCCTATGTTGTTCTTTTAGGTAATAAAATGATTGTTTTACAGTAAAAGGTGTGAAGTAAACAACATGATTCTCTTTGGTTATTTCCATGTGGAACGTTCACACAAACACAAACAAAGAGATGTGTTTGAGGTGAAACTCCACGTTCATCATTCAGAGACAGTGACAGGGAGAGTCCTGCCTTATGAGGACACAAACACCACCACACACACTCTTCAGTCCTCCCTGTTTCACTTTATTTTATGTCAGACTTTTGCGCTTGTTTCATTCACAAGACGCCACAGCAACAGAAGCCATGATCTATCTAGGCCATAGGACATATATGTGGACACGCCCCCTCCTGTGGACACGCCCCCTCCTGTGGACACGCCCCCTGCTGGTGAACCATGATCTAACACGACATCACATCCTCAGCGCTCATCCGTCTCTCCGTCCTCAGCCCCGCCCACAGTCGCTCCTATTGGCTCTGTGGGTTCTCAGGGCGGGGCTGATGGGGGAGTGGGCGGGGCTTTGAGGAGAACACCGAAGTACGAACAAACTGAGCTCTGAGCGCGCTCTGTTTGTCCCACACTCATGACATCACAAGGCTGCAGGTCACATGACAAAAAGAGAACTGTGGGCATTCTGGGTCATGTGACTCTAGTCCACACAACATTCAGAGGACAAAGGAGGACAGAGGAGGACAGAGGAGAGAGAAGAGAAAGAAAGCGGGAAAGGAGGAGGAGAGAGAGGAGAGACATGAGGAGGAGGAGGAGGAGGAGCACTCACCGTCGATCTGTTCCCTGAAACAGAAATGTCACAGAATCAGTTTTACCTGGAAATCACACCAGAGCGTCAGCGACACGTAACAC